TGAGACGGAGTTTCTCTCTTGTTGCCCAGGCTGGAGTGCAATGGTGTGATCTCAGCTCACCGTAACCTCCACCTCCCAGGTTGAAGCGATCCTCCTGCCTCAGCCTCCTGGGTAGCTGAGATTACAGTCATGAGCCACCACGCCTGGCTCATTTTGTATTTTTAGTAGAATCAGGGTTTCTCCATGTTCGTCAGGCTGGGCTTGAACTCCTGACCTCAGGTGATCCGCCCCCCTCGGCCTCCCAAAGTGCTGGTATTACAGGCGTGAGCCACTGCACCCAGCTTAGAAAGGTTAGGGAATATGGCAGCTGTATTTCTTAGCAGCTGAGCACTTGGGAAAAAAGTGGATTAATCATCATACATATGGTGATCCATCAGGATACATTTGCAAATCTATTGAAAATTGATTTTCAAAACCTTTCTCAATTTGTGGCTCTTTGTTCTCATTCAAGATTTTGTGTGAATGGTATTTGGCACTATCAGCACCAACAGGGTGGAATTAGTTGTCCTTTTAGTTCTAATTTGGAGATCAATCTTTCCATATCTGCAGTCCGGATTTTAGCCTCCAAGCCCTAGAATCAGCAGTATTATTCCAGAAATATTTAGGAACCTCAGAGGATGCTGTGAGGACAGTGAGTATTAAGCCTAAGGTTTTGACGGTGGGAAAAGCCATTTCATTTAAGAGATACCTTGCCTTAAGCACCTTAGTGACCCCAGAAGGAAAGCATTGGATAGGCAGTATGTAGACGAGCTCATTTGTCTTCTTCTTATGGACTAAATGCTTAATGAATCCATCTGGAAGAATGGTAATTTGCTTACTAATACAGATTTTCCAGGGCATTGATGGCTTCAGGTGGCAGACAGGCCTCAGGTATTAAGTACAAAGTGTTAAGCCAACATGTGTTAAGTACAAAGGATTCTTTATAGACTTTCAGTTTGCAAGGTACAAATAGTAACTCCCCTCCTTCTCCAGGTCTTCTCAGCTTTTAGGAGCTATTAGCTTTCCTGCAAGGCATAACTGGCATCAGACCATTCTACCTTGTTTGTATGGAGAGTGTTTGCTGAAGAGGGCGGAGCTGGAACTGAAGCAGGTTCAGGCATGCCTTCCTCATGTTTCGACTGGAAATCAGATGAAGCTTGAGATGAGAAAAAAATCAGATCTATGCCTCACTTCAGTTACATTCATATTCAGTTATAAAGCGAGAGGAAACCATTTCATTAAATGGGTTGGGATTGGGTTTTCAGGCTTCTTTCCTAAGAATTTGTTTTCCTTCTATGTGATAGTAGAATAAATTTGCTGTTTTATTTATTTATTTTGAGACAGAGTCTCATTGTGTCGCCCAGGCTGGAATGCAGTGGCATGATCTCAGCTTACTGCAACCTGTGCCTCCCAGGTTCAGGCAATTCTCCTGCCGCAGACTCCCGAGTAGCTGGGATTACAGGCATGAGCCACCACACCCAGCTAATTTTTACATTTTTAGTAGAGATGGTGTTTCACCATGTTACCCAGGCTAGTCTTGAACTCCTGACCTCAGGTAATCCACCCGCCATGGCCTCCCAAAGTGCTGGGATTGCAGGTGTGAGCCACCATGGCTGGTGTAAATTTGCTCTTTTAAATAGCAATGATTATGAGGTGTAATCAAGACTCTCTGTTTAGTGTTAGAGCAGGATAATAGTAGTAGCTAGTATGTATTGATCCATGATAAATACAGGTTGAGTACCCCTTATCTGAAATTCTTGAGACCAGAAATGTTTCCAGTTTTTTCAGATGTTGGAATATTTGCATATACATAATGACTTATCTTGTGGATGGTACTCAAGTCTAAACATGAAATTCATTTATGTTTCATATACATCTTACACATATAACCTGAAGGTAATTTTATATAATATTTTAAAGAAGTTTGTGCATGAAACAAAGTTTTGGCTGCAACCTATCACAGGTGAGGTGTGGAATTTTCCACTTATGGTATCATGTTAGCCCTCAAGCTTTGGGTTTTGGAGCATTTTGAATTTGGGAGTTTTGGATTAAGGATGTTCAGCCTGTATATTAAATATTAGAGATGTTCAACCTGTAACTTTTTAGAGAAGGAAACTGAGGTGCAGGCCTTTCCTGGGATCCACAGCTCAGAAAAGGTGAGGTGGGTCTGAATTAAGAGCTTGCTTTCTTTCTTTCTT